TTATCGTAGAACCTATATCTATAGATTTGTTGCAGAAGATTCAGAATATCGAGAATAAAAATAGGGAAACGAGATCCTATTTATATATTTCCTATTATATATTTCATCTGACAAAAAAATACGAGATCTTCGCTTCTTATTTATTTCTTACATCTATACCCTTGGATGAAAAATCGAGCGAATTAAAAAAATTATAGACTTGTTGAATCTATGAGAGAACGAATGTGCGAATTAAAAAAAAAAGCGAATTAAGAAAAAAAAAGAAAAATTATAGACCAATTTGTTGTCGCAGGAAACGAACGTGTGAAAAATGCGATCCTGGGAGAACTTAGCGTGCGGAATTTTCCTCGTGGTGGTGACGATCGTGAATGGTATGCCCGATTATTCGGGCCTGCCGACTGGCCCGTATTGCGCCAGAAGATATCCAGGATGTTGCCCGGATCGCCAGGACGATTGCAACGCACCGATTCTCGGCAGTCTTTGTTACTGCGATGAGTTTTGCGATCGATTCAGAGAGGAGGACTGTTGCCCCGATTACTGGAGCCATTGCAAGGGGATCGATACTAATGTCACGGAGCCACCCCCTGAACCGATAAAACGTTCGTTGATTAATAATAAGATTCGTTGATTCAACGCGGCCAAACTTCGTTTCGTTACGATTTATTACGTTTACAGGATGCTACCACCAGGGAAAATATTACAACGATGGCCAAGTATTCATGATAAATTGCAACATGTGGTACGTATATTTAATTTCTTCCGAATCGATATATAAAATCGATGTAATTTAGAAAAATTCTTCTTTCCTCTTTCAAGCAAATGCACGGCCGTGTCCAGACTCGCCGAGGTGCTTTGCGAACAAAATCGATGCCTGCAAGAGCAAAGCCTAATAGACGAAGTCAATTCAATGCCGTCTCTCGATTGGAGGGCGCGAAATTACTCGGAATTTTGGGGTAAGAAATTATCGGAAGGTGTGCAACTTCGCCTAGGGACCCTAAACCCGTCGAACTCGGTAAGCGTGTTATTACAACACATTTGATACGATTTTGATACGACCAAGAAAGCTTTCCCAATCCAACCGATCGATCGATTTCGTAAACAAGGTTTACAGAATGAACTCGGTGCGACGGATCTATGATCCCGAATCCCTGCCCCGAGAATTCGATGCCAGGACTCGTTGGCGGCGACAGATTTCGGGCGTCGAGGATCAAGGTTGGTGCGGCGCATCGTGGGCGATTTCTACGGCACAGGTGGCCTCGGACAGATTTGCCGTGATGAGCAAGGGCACCGACAGCGTTCTTCTGAGCGCGCAACATTTGCTCTCGTGCAACAAAAAAGGGCAAAGAGGTTGCGACGGCGGCTACTTGGACAGAGCTTGGCTGTTCTTGAGAAAATTCGGGTAATATTCTGTTACCAAATATATA